AAAATCCCCAAACCCAATTATTAACTGGGCTCTGGCTCGGGTTGTTCGGTGCAGAGAGTCCGTTCCAACTCATAGAGGACCACACACCACAGGAAGAAACCCTGTGCTGTCTGGACCATCCTCACAATTGTTACATTTGAGCCAACTGTTGCAGCCACTGTGCCGATCCATTTCTTTGAGGGTCTTCGTCTTATTTTCCCCTTACCCTCTACCAAGCACGATGTCGCTCTCCAGGAACTGGTCTTTCCTCCTAACACATCCAAAGTACATGAGATGAAGTCTGGCCTCCTCCCTTCTAAGGAGCACCCTGGCTGTACCTTTTTCCACCTTGCACCTACAAATAAGTGCCTACTTCCCAAAATATAATCAGAATCCACCTGATCTGATCCATTTCTGTATTTCCATCATGGGCCATGCCATTACCAATTCGCACCTGACTATTGTCAATAGCCTTCTCCCAGCTTTATCTCTCTCTCTCAACAAGATTCGTTTCTCCACCAAGACGAAAAAGCGATCCACATGAACGTGAACTGATCCATAGTGATTTTATATAGATAGGGTTTCCAATACAAGGGACAGGTAGCCTCATCTTTCTCTCATGGGATGGCTGATGGGTTTGAACCAACTAACTTGGGCTTAACAGCCCAACACCTAACCCACAGCACCCACAGGGCTCTTCTTTAGTGCCTCAGGCACACCTTCATGACCCTGTTAGGCCTATTCCAGTCGCAGGGTCCTGGTGCCTGCCTGCTTGTCTCCTTGGGAAGCTTCTCTGGTATTCCCAGTATGATCTCTTCCGAGAGGCTCTTCTTGACCACCAGATGGCATGTCTCTTTTCTGCCATTTTCAACCTCTCCCTGCTTTTCTTTTCATGATCAACTTACAGCTTTTTGGAATTATATATTATATACCACCAGGGGAGCCCTGGTGGTATAGTTATGAGTTGGTCTGCAGTTCGGAACCACCAGCCACTCCCTGGGAGAAAGATGGGGTTTTCTACTCCCATAAATACTAACAGTCTCAGGAGCTCAGAGGGGGCATTCTACTCTGTCCTGTAGGGTCTCGAGCCGGTGCTGACTCAATAGCAGTTTGTTTTCTCTTCCTCCCTGAAGGGAGTCCCTTCGGGGTGCAAATGGTTAACTGCTGGACCACTAACCAAAAAAACTGGTGGTTCCCCCTATACCAACTACATGGACAACTGCCCCTCCCTCCAGAAGAATTTACTTTAGAGGACGGCACTAGCTGCTGCTAGGGGAGAGGGGCATGTCTGATCAGAGCACATGGGAGCAAATGAATTGGTAGGAAGAGAGAGTGGAGCACATCCTGGCCTACCAGGCCTGGAGGATGATATCCCCGCTCTGAACAGCCAATGCACAGAGTGGACCATATGGCTGATCCCACTAGGAGACACACCGTCCCTTGCTAGCCCAGGGCCCCAAGGAGGGCAACACTGGAGACACAGTGTGGGTGGGGACTGGCCCAGACTGACCCTGAGACACCAAGGCAAAACACTAAAGGCATGCTGCAGAGCAACTGGGGGAGCAGAGCAGGGAGCTCCTGAGGGAGTACAAAGGATAGACTCTGGGGCCAGAG